AACTATCCAACGCATGATCTTGAGTTAGCTGCTGTGGTATTTGCTCTTAAGATTTGGTGACATTATTTTTATGACATGAAATGCGAAGTCTCTCCTGATCATCGAAGTCTCAAACACATTTTCACACCAACAGAGTTGAATTTAAGAGAGCGAAGATGCTAAGAGTTGATCAAATATTACGTGGATATACAATATTGTTCGAGTCGAGAAAATGTTGCTGCTGATGTATTAAGCCATAAATCCACAGGTAATGCAAGCTGCATTACTACGCAGAGGCTAGTGTTGATTAATGAAATTGATGATTTATAGTTGGAAGTTAGAAAATCAGGTGATATGGGTTATTTACATCAACCGACAGTGCAACCAAATTTGATGAATAGAATCAAGACAACTTAGAAGGATAATAGTGAGTATCCAAAACTCACAAAGCAATGTCAATTAGGAAAGATGACTGATTTACATGGTTGATGAAGATGAAATTATCTAATATAAGCTACATATATGAATACCTTTTGATTTTGATCTGAGATGAGAAATTTTACATAAAGCTCATTGTTCAGGGTAAACAATTCATCCAGGCAATACAAAAAGGTACGAGAATTTGAAGTTGGCATTCTGGTGGTCAGATTTGAAGAAAAGGATGTTGTTGAATATGTATCTCAATAAACATGTCAGATTGTTAAAGCTGAACTTCAGAGACCTAGTAGATTGCTACAATCATTGCAGATATTGGAATGGAAATGAGAAGAATGCAATGAATTTCGTTATGGGATTCACGACACTACTTGGGTCATTATTGACAGGTTAACCAAGTCAGCTTACTTTTTGCTAATTAGGGAGACGGATTCAATAGAAAAGTTGCCCAAATTATACGTGAAGGAAATTATCAGATTACACGGTATTCCAAAATTCATTATTTTTGACAGAGAAGGAACTTTCACGTCCAGGTTGTGGAAAAACATTTACTATGGTTTGGGTACACAGTTACATTTCAACACTGCAAATTTGAAGTTGGAGATCTCGTATTTTTGAAAGTTAGGTCAATGAAATGTACAAATAGATTTGGTTAACTAAGCAAGCCGAGTCCCAAGTACATAGGTCCTTTTGAAATTATAGAAAGGATCGGTCCAATTGCCTATAACTTAGCGGTACTCGCGGATATATCAGATATACACGATGTGTTTCACATTTCTATATTGAGGAAATGAGCTTCAAATTCAGAGCAAAGAATTTCTCAGGAAGATATTGAAGTTCAGAAGAATCTAACATATATAAAAATTGAAAAGATTTTAGCAATTGATGCTATGAAGTTCCGAAACAAATAAATTTCTTTTGTGAAAATAAAGTGAAAGCACAGGCCTGAAAAAGAAGCTACTTGGGAAAATGAAGAAGAAACGCTACGAAAATACCCCTTTCTCTTCAAGTAAAGTAAAAAATTTTGAAGATGAAATATTTATAAGGAGAGGTGAGCTGTAACGCAGAAATTTCGAGAATTCAAATAAGCATAAATCAAATAAGTTCGACAAATCCTAAAAGTACCTCAAATTTTATACCCCTCAGAATGTGCTCGAAGCAGTTTTATAAAATTCTACGCATAAAATTGAGCAATTCCATTTAAAGCACCATATTTTAATTATGAATGAATTTAGAGATATTAAATAAGTTATAAGTTTTATGAAATTAGTTAAACTTGAATTATCCTAATTTCCTCGTTAATCTTGTATCTCTCACATGTGCAATGTTTCCAACCAACTTATTTCGCATTTATGAGCTGTTGGATGTTGCGAATGGCTGAGGTTTATTGGGATTTCCTTGAGTGTTTCTTTTTTCCGTATTCCTCTCTCGATTTTGCTCGACAGTGAGGAACCCGCGATCTTGCACTATAGCAGGCGGGGATCGGCGCCGAGCACTACAAAGCACGATCAAAACGAATCCCTCTCTTTCGTCATTCCGGTAGCTGTCGGAGGCGTCAAACTCGTGTCAGAATTGTTGGAAGTGATTTGAAAGCTTCTACATGAGTTTTAGCACAATTTCAACGATGGAAAAGTATGGTTTGAGGTGTTAGAAATGAGGAAATGTGAAATTGGTTATTTTAGAAGGGCAAATTTATGCTAAAAAGCTCTTTTGAGGTATGTTTTGACCTTTATTGCATGTTTTTGGGTTAATGCATTTTTTGAGCCAAAATTTTCTGAATTCCTATGCGGTTTGTAAGCCCCAATTTGTCTATACGAGGCGACTAGCTCGAGACAAGCATATGGGCACTCGTTGTATGACTGCTCCATCAAGTTGGGTGAAATAATTTTGTGTTAATTTAAGAAAAATATCTTCTATAGGTTTTCATATGATTTCTATTTTGACACTGATGAATTTAAAACTTCCTGCATATTGTAAATGAATATCTGCAATTGAAAGTATGAATATACGTCTATTTTTCTTACGATATATGTAATGTTATGATCAGACTATCCTACATGTAACTATGCATATGATATGAATTTTCTACAGGTATTCATTTGTTATGCCTCATGCCTATGTCTATGATAATGTCTGATGAATGCTTGATGCAGAAATGATGATTTAAATGTCACGAGGAACGTTAGGGAGTTGACTATTACATTAGTGCTTGCAAGTACATTATGCAGAAGATATTATTCTCGACTCCTGATGTTTATACGGGGGCAAAATTCTGAGAACCGTTGAAATTTGACAGTGATATAGCATTTGAGAACCGTGGGTATCAGGGGGGTTGTCAATAACTTCTATGTTGGGGGAAACCCAATCTTTATCAATAGTTTATGTGACCATTGGGGCAAGGTGACAACTAATGATGAAAGAACATGGAAACTGTTGAATCCTATGCATTAAACAAGTGACACTATTTTGATATGACATCTATTATGAATATGCTTTTATTTATAATTTTTTACTTTTAACCTACATGTTACACTACAGTTGATTTTTATACTTGCACCTGCTCTCTTTTCATGTTTTCTTTTATGCTAGCATGTTATGATTTGTGTGTAGACATGTATAGTTTCCTATGAGCATGCACATTCTTTTTTCCATATGTACAATTTTATGTTAGCCCTCATTATTTCTATGAGCTCGTTGTTGCTCATTCTTTATTGTTGCCTTCCAGGTAGGCGCAAGAAGCACTAGGGTGAGTAGCTAGGTGTATCTTTGTACAACTTTTACATGATTGTTTTGGGAGCTTTGTACATATGTTTTGGGTACGTGTTTTTTATTTAATATTGGATTTAACAGCTCTGTACGGTTTTCATGTTTTGGATGTTATAATTTCCATACTTCCGGAAATACAATGTATCACGTTTGTTGCGGTGATCCAGTTAGATTAATTTATCACCCACCGAGTTCTGATTATAAAAGGCAGGACGACTGCTGATGAGAGTTGGTCTGATCAAATTGTCAGTTTCTGTCACGATTGACTCTAACAAGGGAGTTTGTTGGGGTGTGACAATTTTGATCAACATAATTTGTTAAGGTATGGCAGTATGTGGAAGAAGGGGATTGACAAATTTATACAGGCTATGTGTTGGCTCCAAAAATAGTTCAACTTTAAAGTTTCAATTAACCTCTCTTAACCACCTTCCTCGAAGATTAATAACTTTTCTAGTTATATAAACTTACCGTGGGTGGGATATTCATTTCTCGTGATCATATCTTTATATTTATAAAATATTCTTTCATTACTCCTTTGACATGCTTAAACTTTTTTATTTAAAATCACTTTACAATCTATTTTTAAAGCGAAGTTCCCTTTTTTCTCGAGTAAAAAAGTTTATTAGTGAATTGATAGCACCTCTCCTGAAAGTAATTATCACCTTCTTTTTTTGTAAGTTCATATATTACTATGAAATCCAATATATTTTTTTCACTTATGGTGACAGCATTGTTAATCGTGGTTTTTGGTCATAAAAAGAAAGTGCACATATATTTTATGGCATGATTACTTCTTAATGGAAGACTTTGTTTATACCGTTTGAGTTGATGTTTGTAAGGCATACAAATATATTATTTGTAATTTTGGGATTTCTTTTGTTTACTCGATATATAAACAACATTCAGGTGCTTGCATGCATGTGTGATATATCATTACTTAAAGTTATGTATATAATATGTTCATAATTCTACATTAAGATATACATCAATTGGAATTCCCTTGTAACAAACAGCCATAAACTTTTAGTGTATAAATTCAATATAAGATCTGCAACAGAAAAGATACCTAACACTAAGACTATTTAGTTAATGGAAGCACTGCGTGTTTATTTTTACTGAAAATTTTACTACCTGTAATAGAAGGCATGTTCGATAGAGTTTGCTCTACCAATAGATTTTGATGATTATCTGGGGTGTTATTATGTTCTGTTCTGTATCATATGCCTCACGACATAATGTTTTATATAGCTAAAACATGTTTGAATTTTGGTTCTTTTTTTTATTTCTCATATAATTGTTAGCTTTTCTGATTTGTCATGACCCCTTTCTCTTAGTAATTGTTAGATTAAACCCCTCTTGCATTTGCCATTATGACACTTTTATTCCATATAGTTCTGAAACTAAAATAGCTTTGTTGTTTTGGAGACCTGCATGGCCCATATTTCACAAAGCATTAGCAATTGTCAACAGGTAAGACGCCTTTCTAAGTTTTGCATTTTCTAGATATTTCGCTAGATTAAGGATTATGCTTTTGAATATGACTAAGTTAGGTTGGTCTTTGGAATCACTAAGCCATCGCGTAATTCTTTTTTCCCTAATTTTGTTTGATTTGAAATTTTTTTTGTAAATTTTCTGTAGATTTTCTGAAGAATGGATTAACTGTTTTTCTCCTGTTTTTTACGGAATTTTATTTGAATTCAATTTTTATTTAACTTGAACGTATTTCTACGGTTAATTGCTTTATTACACATTCTTTTCAAAGTTTGTTGTTATACCATAGCATTTAAAATAATTCTTTTCTGTCTTTTATCATTGCAAAGGTTACATGTAGCCGAGTTGTTGACAATTCAAAATAGTTTGAGGGCTGTCTTGTCCAAGGCTAAAGCTGCTGGCATGCTTCGCATGGCCTTCCATGATGCTGGAACATATGATACGAAGGATCGCTCAGGTTTCCATTTTAAGAAGCTGTTTATTTTGAGAAAAATCTTCGCATACTTTGTGGAGCTATTTTTGTGCACATGTGAATTTAATGTCCATCATGCTTAGTTTTTCTGATCTCTGCTCTATAATGTTGTCTCCCATTTTGGTTAAGGGAAATTTACATAGCACACAATTCTTATGTATTACATGTCTCACTCCAAAATTTTCATATTTACATACATGACTAAGGTACATTATACCCATGCATTAAAATGTGTATTTCACTTTTAAAAAGTGGTAATAGTAGTATTTTTGATTTGCTATTAAATTTTTAAATGCTATGTGTATAAATATGAAAATTTAGGTGTGAGTTATGTAAATACATAAAAAATGTGTGCTATGTATGTAGTTGTCCCTTTGGTTAAATGAACTACTATGTTTTGTATCATTCTTTTATTGCACGATTTAATTTGTCTGTTCAACTTTTTTCTGAATTTCTTGTTGTAGGTGGCATGAATGGATCTATACTTTATGAACTCGATAGACCTGAAAATGCTGGTCTTGGTAAAAGTTTAAAGGTTTCCTGCTTGGAACTTCCTGCACTCACTATCTTGTAGAAAATACTTTCGTAGTTGTAAGAAACCTCTAGTTTTGGTTGCTTAAATAAAAATTCATGAACAAATTGGAAATATATAGCTACTTTAATCAACATGTATCAAGAATTTTGCTTATTATTCTCTTTTATTTCAAGGTGTGGTAAATATGTATTTTATTATCTATTTCTTTTTTTCTCTCTCTTCAGATCTTGGAGAAAGCGAAGAAGGAAGCTGATGAAATTCACCAAGGTACATTATCATGTTATGGAGAATGATTTGTTTGAACGAAATTCTGTTCATATATTTTGTAAGTTTTCTAGTATCCTGGGCGGACTTCATTGCGGTGGCTGGGGCTGAAGCGGTCTTTCTATGTGGAGGTCCAGCAATTCCTGTTAAAGTAGGCCGGCTAGATGCGAGGTGCAACTATGCGAGTTCATGTTAATTTATTCTTTATGTGTAGTATAAATTTTGTTGAGATGAGTAGAATAATGTGCATTATGAAGCTATTTAAATCACCCAGTTGATTTTTTCCGAAGTTTTTAATTTTTGAGAAAAATTCCCCCAAGTGTGCCGTTAGTTTTCATGCTATTATAATCATAAAACTTACTAAGATTTTATCACTGTCTTAAATAATGATTTTTGTTTTAATCATCATGCAGTATTTCTCATCAGAGAATAGTTCAACCTGTAGGAAACCTGATCCCGTGGGGAAACTTCCCCTTGAAACATTGGATGCATTTGGTCTAAAAAGCTGCTTCCAGAAAAAAGGCTTCACGTGAGTATTGCGGTACTCTGCACCTTTTGATGTCCATAGTGCAATAGTTGGTTTTATTATTTGGAAATTTAATTACATACCACACAATTCTTATGTATTTATATATCAAACACTCAAAGTTTAATATTTACACTTGTAATACCTTGGTGTTATAAATATATGCATGAAAATGTATATTTCTTTTTTAAAAATACAGTGATGGTGATATTTTAGCTTTGTGCCCATGGAATGGAGCAATGAAATTGAAAAGAAAGGCATTTATGGTGATTCTAGACAGAAATGAAGTTTATATGCAAAGTCAATTATTGCAATCCTCATTGAAATGCTCATTTTTATGTTGGCTAGACTATCAGTTTATTTAAATTTCCAGTCCTACTATTTCGATGAAGTATTTAACGAAGGAGCTTTTATAGAGAAGAATGCTAGCGGTGCTTGTAGCATGGTGGTGCTTCCATAGATAGGCTGATGCCCGTCCTACCTCTAACCTGCTCGGATTTCAAGCAACAACCTCTATAAGATCTTGCCTTCATTAGATAGGGGCTCAATTTGGGTGGGGAAAAGATCGTGGGATTACATGGTGGCAAAGGAGGAGGTTCAAGTAGCTGTAAAGACCTTGGAGATTCAACTTGGTTTGGAAGGAGTTATGAGAGAGGATTCTCAACCGAGGTTGACTTTTTTATGCGGGTGCAACTAGTAGCCGCAACGTAACAAGGAGCTGCTCCCGCTCCCGCTCCCGTGATTTATTTTGTTTGGACTGGAACGATCCAGATCTGGGAGGTTAGACTGGCTTTTCCACGTGAGTTTGATGCCTTCTTTTTATAGGGGGATCTAATCCTAGTTATATAAGACTTATTTATGTGATTCCTTTATCTTAGATTTGTAGTTTTTGTCGTGTTATCCCAAAGAATTGACCCAAAATATCTATGAAGCCAGAATTTTGAGTTAACGGTGGATTTAACACGTTTTGATCATTATTTGGATTCATAAGGGTTCATCAAGTGGCTTCAGGCCTTGAACTTTTCTTTGAGTACTAGAATGTGTCACCGAACAAAATGATGAAACTAGTCGCCAATAAATTGAAGAAGGGTGCATTATTTTGGTGGCAAAATTTAAAGCACCTACGCCAGCATGAAATAAAAGATAAGATCACTACTTGGACCCAGATGAAATATGAGATGCAACGCCAATATTTACTAGTTCATTACAGACGGGATATGTAAACTCTAGTTTCAAAAGTGAAGAGACGATATTATCAGATGGCCATCACATATTACATGCAGAGTTCAACCTTAGGATATTACAACAAATGTATTCTCAGGGGAACATCCAAATCTACCCCTCCTGAGGAGGCACTTGGTCAGAGTAAAGAATAGGCATAACCAATATGTATTCCCAAATCCATCTCAGCCAGTAAGTGTTTAAGTGCCATAGATTTTGGCATATTGAATCAGATTGAGAAAATCAAAAAGGAAGTTGTTGCAGTATCTGTAGTGAAGCTCGTGCGCTATCGAGCAGGATATGAAGCTCATGAGGGAGGGAGCCAAAGCCGGTTCTGATGCAATCCGATTCTCGCAGAGGGTAGCAAGATGAAGCCTTCACACGGTATAGGCTCCATCGAAGTAAGGTTTATTAAATTGATTTAATATTAAAACTTAGTGGTAATAATAATAATAATAATAATTGTAATAGTAATAGTAATAGTACTAATACTAATACTATTGTAATATTTTGGTTCTTATCAATCAAATGCATTTGTTGTTATTGTTACAGTATTGCATCTCATGATTTATGGTTCTAATGAATTTTGTTCATATTGTATGAATGACTTGTGCGCTCTGCTTTGCTTGATTGAATCATGTACAAGAATATTTACTGTTATGTAATTGATAATGAAATATTTGTTATTAAAAAGATAATATTTTTATAGTATGTTTGTATGTGCATGTTTTGCTATGACTTGATGATACTAGTGGGAGAACACTAAGATACCCGTGCACGTATATAAAAAAAGATATTGATATTGATGTATTTTAATTGTCACAATTTTTAGATTGTGCTTCTATGATGGTTGTACAGACATAGAATGATATTGATATAGTAAAGTTCTTTGTATAGCATCAAATATTTTTATTGATTTATTTAAAGCTTGTTTGACATGCATATTGCTTTCTTTTCTCTTTTATTACCGCGATTTATGAGTATGAGTATTCATTGATTTGTTTAGCTCATTGTTATTTTAAACTAATTTTTCAGGTTAATTAAATGATTAACGATGAGCGTTAGAAGAGATAATATTTATAGAAGTGGACATTCAATAATGAGGTAATTTTAAATATATTGTTTTAATTTAATTTGCTAGTGGCTCTTTCATTTATTGAATTTTAGATGAATATAGAAAATTTAGTTTCTATCGTCCGACTGTCTGTTTTCATCTTGGTTTGTTCCATGACACAATCTAAGGAGAAGCCATTCCTTTCTTATTGATTTAGTAGAAAATGATTATGGGTCGTTAGGTAGAGCTTTTGACAATGACAAAAGGACACTTGAGAAACTCTAGAGAGGAGAGTAGGTGGCAGGAAAGATTATACCTCCCATGTGAATTTGAGGATGTCTGAGAGCTAGTGCTTCCGTTCTTGAAACTTTGGAAAAGGGGGATGCTTGAAAGTTGCAGAGAATTTGACTAGAAGATGGCTCCCTTGAAATGACAAATATTGCAATAAAATTTAAACGCAAAAATACAGGAGAAAACAACTATAAAAAAATAGAAAAAAATGGTGGATAACCCTCCATTACTTGTACTCAATACCGGGCTATCTAATAAAGCATTAGTATATATAATTAAAATGAGATCAAAGTGAGCTGCTCCAATAAATTCCCAGAGGGTGCTCTACATAAAAGGATGTTCACCTCAAATCCGAAGAATGGCCCCGCACATTGTCATATAAGTTTTATATCAGGAACCAGTCAGGAATGGGGGTGAGACTTCGAAAAGAGTAGTGAAACAACCTTGAGGCCTGGACAATGTCCTAGTGCTTCTGTATTGAGTCTCATGATAGTCTGTCTATCCCAAGAGTGGGTGCTATTGGTCCAGAAAATGAAGGGACGTATTATATTAGCAAAAATGGTACTTTTCTCCAAGCCATTGTCATTGTACTGATTATCCATGCCGGGGCTTGCAATGTGCACCTAAGCTGTTTTAGTTCCCATCTCATGTCCCTTTGGGGATGATTGCTTCCTATCCTCCTGGTTCACCTTTTTATCCAACTTGCTAGTTTTGGGCATGCGGTTTCTTCTCCCTGTGACTAGGACCCAAGGCCCAAGGTCACCAATTTGGGCAAGATCTTCCTCCCTAGCCCCCTTGTCCTATAACTCCTCTTTTTGCTGGATCAAGTGCTGCTACTTGGCTTCATTTTTGCTAGAACTGAAGCCAGCTTCCAGTTGCATATGAAGGTGGTCGCCTTGGGTGGTATAATCAGAAGGAGGCCATGGGAGGAGCAGTCCCTTCTGTAGTGGTGGGCCTCGCACGTGTCTTTTGAGCAATCCTTAAGTGTAGGCATTGGGTGGGCCTCGCATGTGTCTCTTTAGCAACACTTATGTGCTGGCATTGGGCTTCTTCGTATCCCATCAACCCAAAGCGAAATCAAATCTGCAGTTTTTTCTGCATGTTGGACAAGTTGAAAATTTTTCTTATGATGCTCTCACGAACTCCAGTGCAAAGACACCTTTCGAGATCAATTCTTTCATACTCTTGTGAAGATGGCTCTTAGCTCTAGTGTAGAGTCGATGGGTACTGGAAATAGAAGGACTGGCAGCTTAGGGGACTCGTTCACTAAAGGATGTTGAAAGACATTCACACTAGAGACTAGGGAGAGTGGGATTGAACGATAGATTAAACTTAAAGAACATCAATGCTAAAACTTCAGACCACTTTTAAGGGTCTTTTAATGGGTGCAAGAGGTGACAAGGAGCGTGCAAAAGAATCCTGAGGTGAGATTACTACTGCCAAGAAAATATTTACCTTGTTAATGTTCCATGGATTTTGTAGAAGAGTTGCAACAGATTGTCTCTCTTCTATTAAGGTTAATCACATTGAGCACTACTTAATGGGGAATTCCTCTTGCATCATCAATATCTGACACTCCAGTGGGGGTGGGTGGGGAGATAATCCGGTGCTATGCCAATAATATTTGACATAACATCAAAGTTGCCCATAAAATGCTGCCTATTAAGTTTTATTATTTTAATAAAGAAGATACTTTATGTAGTAGATTCTTTTATGATATATTTTTTTATAATAAATGATTCCAAATTTCTTCCTCTTGATTTCCCTTCGATTATTTTCTTTCCTTATTCTTTTCTTTAGCTGCTTTATAACCTTTTATAAATACTGGGTATATGAGAAACAAAATCTTGTGAAAATTGGAAATAGGAACACGGTTGAAATTCCGAATAATGCGGAATAAAGTGGAATTTTCATTGATATGAAAGGGGTTATAAATAACCCTTACATTAATCCTAGAAAAGAAAAGACAATAAAAAGGAAATAATATGAAAGGAAATATATAACTCCTAATATCTCCAATTATTCAATTCATATTAATTATTTTGAAGATAAAAGAAATAACATAAAATATGATAGGCTAAAATAGGAAATTGAATAAATCTAATCGAAGGAAATAAAATAATTCCTAATTTTTGGAAATAATTTATTCCTCATAACTTCTCAGAGGAATTAATTATTTCCTAATATAACTTCCAACATTTCCCCTTAAATTGAAAAATGGTTGAAAACCATGTTCAACTTAGATTTTGAAAACATCAAACAATGGGCGAGGAAGAAACTTTGAGGTAGAATTTGAATTCTTCATCCCATATTGCGATTGTCTTTGACTGTAAAACTTTTACAGATAATATTATAGAGGAGTTTACAAAGAAGCAGACAACTGAGGTTGTCTTTAATTCAGTTCTTGCAGTGTGTGTAGATATGCAGAAGACTCTTAAAGCTAAAGCTGCAGGGGAGTTTGCAGTGAAGTGGATAACCTGCAAAAAAGCTACAAGGTATGACTTGTAGAAAAAGGAAATAGCTCCGGAGGTAGGTCTTGCTATAGGAAAAGCATTGGAGTCTGGTGTAGGAAAGTTTCCGGAGGAGGGTCTGATGCAGGAAAGGCTCTGGAGGAGGGCCTGCTGTAGGAAGAATTTCAATGGAGGACCTGCTGCAGGAAAACTCTGGAGGAGGGCTTGATATAGGAAAAAGCTTCGGAGGAGGATCTGTAGAAAATCAGGGAAGTCGAACTGCTGGAAACTAGGAAGTCGGACTGTTGAAATTTAGGGAAGCTGGACTGCTGGAAATAAGGAAGTCAAACAGTTGGAAATCTGGACAACTAGAGGATCAAGGAAGTCAGACTGTTGGAATCTTGACAACCAGAGGAAATCGGGGAAGTCAAACTGCTGGAAACCAGGAAGTCGGACTTCTGCATTTAGTTATCTCTGTTTGTCCTCTAATACCTTTCTAGTAGAGGACTCCAATGGTTTTGTCCTTGGAAGGAACTTCAACTTTGGCCTCTCCGAAGCTTCATCAGGAGTATGTTGATACTATAATGCAGCTACTTTAAACTCATGAGACACTGCATAAGGCAAATTAGACTGATATTCAAAAGTATTTATATCATTAAATTTACAATACGAAGAGGATATCACCCTCCCACTGTAGAAAACCGTCAGAACGAATACCTCTTAATTTCCCCTCTTTAGTACAGAATACGAGGAAATCCTTCCCAAATTCCCTTCCTCGTCATTCCAAATTGGAATATTGTCCACAGCCCATCGATCCAAGTTCTCCTTATTCTGGAATTTGATCACCTCCACATCTGTAGGCTTCGATTGCCACCTTCCTGATGAAACCTTCTCAATCGCGCTAGCCTGTGCAAATCTAGATGCAGCCGCAGTTCCAGACAATGTCACAGAAGGATGGGCCTGCGGTGGCTTGGAGACCACGCCTCTTTTAACTAGCACTTCCTTTCTAGCTGCCCACGCTTTCCTAGCAGAAGTTGGTAACTCTGGGGATGGGGAGAGATGGTGTGCCACAACCAGATTGAAAATCAACTGCTTGGAATATGATCGTGCGACAACCTGAGATAGGTTGGGTGCTAGTGGATTCCACTGCAGCAACCAATGGGCGTCGAGAAGCGGAGGAGGAATCAAAGGACTTGCGCTCGTCCTCGTCAAAGTGGCGACCAATAAATGATGGAGAGATAGGAAAGTCCGATCTTGCTCGTCGAGGACATGGATGAGCCAGGCGTAGGCGGTGGTGGCGACGCTTTCCCTAGTAGAAGTGCCAACGGGGTTAGGGACGGTAACCAGGCCCTACGACGATGAGACCTCGATGAGATGCCCGAAGCGGAGGTTTAAGCTCGGAGGGGATTGAACCGCCATGAAATCCCTAAGCGTCATGGTCATGGATCCGATTGAAAATTTCTTCTTAAAAAAATTTCTTCTCGTTGTTGGCGATGTCCGCGAAGCAGCGAAGGAGAATAATTGATTGGACGATGACCGGTGGAGGTCGGGATGATGAACATCATGACGCTGCATGCGACGAGGTTGACGGTGACACCGCCTTTAGAGTCGACCACAGTGGAGAAAGTGAAGAAGAAAAATATTACGGTTTCAAATACCAAGATGAGTGCCCCTCCCTTCCCGCATGGAGGATGACAGGAAGGGAGGTCGATGGTTCTGGAAGGAGGACTGGCAGCTAGGTTAGGGACTTCGGATCTGATACCATTTTGAAATTCAGATAAGTGCGGAATAAAACGGAATTTTCATTAATATCAAGGATGTTATGAATAATCCTTACATGAATCCTAGAATAGGAAACATAATAAAATTAAAATAATATTAAAGGAAAGATATAACTCCTAATCTCTCCAATTAATCAATCCATATTAATTATTTTAGAGATAAAGGAAAAATCTTAAAATAGGAAATGAAAAATAGGAAATAATAAATCCAATCTAAGGAAATAAATATAAAATAAGAAAGGAAATAACTCCTAATCTAACGAAATAATTTATTCCTCATAACTTCTCACAGAAATAAATTATTTTCTAATATAATTTCTAACAAAAATAAGTTTAACTTGTCTCTTTATCTTTTCTCTTTTCTCTTTTATTTCCCGGTAGATTTTACTTCTATTCGCTTCTGCTTCATCTTATTTTGCATAACGTAACCAGCACACCAAAATCTTGTTTCTTGTTTTACGTTGTCATTTACATTTTATAAATAATATGTTCTCGCTTGCATTGTTGGCTCTAAATTGTACAACTCAAATAATAAAATTGATCCCCAGAAGAAATTTGAATGCTTTCACTTTCCTCACTAGCATGGTACTGGTTAGAAGATGAGACTTTTCGTTTTTGCAGGACCCAAGAACTTGTTGCATTATCTGGAGCCCATACACTAGGAAGCAAAGGCTTTGGAAATCCTAATGTGTTTGATAATACCTACTACAAAATTCTTCTTGAGAAACCATGGGCATCTTCAGGTCAATTTTCAACTCTATGATGCTTTTCTTGTGCTTTCGGTGTTTACTACAGCTTGTATAAGTGAAAATTGATCATTATCCGCAAGATTTTATATCACTAATACCACATTAAAATATATGATTAAGTCCATAATTGTTAATATACGAGAACTGATCAAAATTTATGAATTTTGTGAATGTGTGGTCATTGCTCAATCATAACTTAATGATTGGTAAATCCGTGAAGGGCTTCTTTTTTTATTCCGTGAAGGGCTTCTTTTTTTTATTCCGTGAAGGGTAATGATTGGTAAATCCAGGGTGTCAAAAAAGTCCATGTTCGGTTCAATAATTTCTTTCAAGTTACGGTTGTTGTTGAAATAAAAAGTTCCTTGGGTTAGATTCATTTGAAAAGTAAACAAGTTATAATTGAACAAAAATTTTCAGCTAATTCACTGAAAGAGTTGAACATAAGTAGTGTCGGTTTGATTATGTTTGATTTAATAAAAGATAGTGCTACTTTCTATGATTATGAAAGGCCAATTGTTACATGCTTCTGAGGTTTCTTGTTAGACATGCTTGGTTTGATCATGTTGTTTGTGTTGTTTCTTTTTATTTTTTATTTTTTTATTTTTGCTCTTTACATTTAAATGCCTATTATTTGAGTGTGAACTTGTTTGTTCGATTTATTCTTTGTTTGGGAGATCTACAATAGAAATTTTTCCAAAGGTGATAAATTTCTAGCATGAAAATGAAGGTTTTTTTTCTGAACTTTTTATATCAAGTTGTTGTTAGTATTTTTCATTTTAAACCATCTTTTCCTTATGGAAGCCTTCAATTTTATTGTGCTAGCTTGGTAACATTTCAGCAACATTTTCCCTTGTAAATTTTCATTATCGCCCAAACCTTCAGTAGCGCTTTCACCTAGACCCATAAGTGAGGGGTGATGGGAAGTTTTAACTTTTAGCCACCGCATCCAAAATGTTACGATGGGCAAAGAGTGACATTAAGGAACGTTTCAAGAATTTCATGAATTCGTTCGAAAGGTCACAGACGAAGAAACATGCTTCCAAATAGCAAGCTCTTCATTAACTCATCCATAAGAAAACTGTGATTTTTTTTAAGTGATGCAAGTACTGATATTTGTCCCTTCAAAAGGAGATTCTTTACCACGGCTTGTCAACATTTTCTTGCACTCTATAATGTGCTATTCCATTTTCCATTTCATTGATGTTTATGGGTTAAACACAAGAACTGCTTTTGTAAAATGCATAATAAATTTGAATTTTTCAAATGTTTTAGAAGCGTGTATTATATGGTATGTGCATATAATTTGTTAACTACGATTTTATTACATTAACGCACACAGGTTCCATGTCAAGCATGATAGGGTTGCCATCAGATCACGCTCTTGCAGAGGATGATGAGTGTTTGAGGTAACGACATTTGTGGTAACGCACACAAGTTCAAAATTTAATGGTTCAATCTTTGTTGAATTGGGGGTTAAATCATAAGATTTAATAAATATTAATTTTTTTAAATATGATTTTAATGTTCAATAATAATGATGATATTTTAACCATATCAATATATAATATTTTAATCCCGGAATTTCATTCTTGAATATTTTAAATACTATTCTAAAATAAAATTTTGAGATATGATAATTTAATTATCTTTAACTTTTAATCTAGTTCCTTTTTTTTTTAGCCATATTCAAATAAAAAAAATATAAAAAATGATTTATATATTTTAAATACTATTCTAAAATAAAATTTTGAGACATGATAATTTAATTATTTTTAACTTTTAATCTACTTCCTTTTTTTTTCTAGCCATATTCAAATAAAAAAAATAAAAAAAATGATCTATATTAGATTCAAGGCAGTTCATCAAAACCATATCGGTTCACCGATTCAGCTACCGGTTCTGTACAAAAGTCGTTTTGAGCTTGGACTGAACCGGCTGAAGGATTGGTTTACAATTGAATCGATCTGATCTGTTTTGATTTTTAAAACAAGGATTTAAACTATAGTTAAAGCATGGTTCTTTTAAGTAGCTATGTTTAAAACTAGCTGCTCAATATTTTTCCAAGCAGAGCATTGTGTTGTTTTAAAGGTCATTAGAAAGCCAGTTTGTTGGTCTAAACAATTTGGCCATGTTTGAAAGGCTTAAAGTAATATTTTACTTGAAAAATTTCAGGTCAAAGCTGCGTAAAATATGCAATTTTATTTTATTTCGGCCAGGTTCTAGTGGTAACATAATAAATGATTTGTCCATAACATATTTTGCCATTATCCTTAACATTGCAGGTGGATCAAAGTTTATGCATCAGATCAAGTGAAATTTTTTGATGATTTTTCAAGCGCATATATCAAACTCGTGGATTCAGGTGCTGTGTGGCGAAGTGAGCAAGTCTGATGCTACATCTGAGGTAATTGCAAATGTTACCTAAGCTGAATGAGCTTTGATGATACAAATAAGGAAAATTTACATGCATACCTCAATTTATATGTATTTACATATCTGACACCCAAACTTTGATATTTATATTTATAACTTCTTGGTGCTGTAGGCAATGTGTATTTTACTTTGAAAAATATAGTGTTGGTGATAATTTTGCTCGTTGGAGCTCTTTAGCATAAAGAGATGTGAGGTAACGACAGTGCGAGTTCCTAGGGTAGAGAGCGGCTCATCCATTGTAGAAGAACCAATAAGAAAGGAAATCGTGTGATAAGAGTAGATGAGTGGCTCTACCGAAGCCACGAGCAGATCCTCTCCATTGGGAGCGATTATTACATCTGAAATTTGTAGGTACGATTTCGTAGTATTAGATGTTATTGTGATGGTATTTTACCATAATACTTTCAGAATACCACCTAATACCATCTAATACTATTCTTACGCTCGAGAGACTCGAAGGAGCTCCTTAAGATCCTAGTGTAAGGAGCGACAAAACAAGAGCTTTGTACGTGTGAGGACATACTCTATTCATAGGAAAGGGGCAAGGGAGATGAGGATTTAGGAAAAGGGTTTTGTCAATAGGGGGAAGAATTTCCAAAGTGAAGACCCATTTTAATACTTAATCTTTATTATTTTCTTATTAATAATTGTTAACTTATAATACAAGTTAAGAATTTTAAGTTTAAAATCGTAGTGTCAACATGTCAAAGAAGTCCAAGTAAGCTTCCTAATTAATTATTTGAATATTAATTTGTTTAATTGTGATACATTATTCTTATAATTATATCAATTGACGAAGTAGTATAACATTTAGGTAATATGTTATACTATAAAGCACTTTTCTAGTATAACATTTAGGTAAGATGTTATACTATAAAGCACTTTTCTACTATAAAGCACTTTTCTGCAAACACTTGATATTATACCTGGTATGCAGAATGTGTAGTTATATTACTAGTCAATTTTTAATATTTTTATTTACATAATATCACTGGCGCTTTATAGTTATGAATTATTCTTCTCATATTTTAAACTACCAAACAAATAGAAAAGAGAAGTAAATATTAAATTCAAGTAAAGTGTATTAAAGATGATAAATCAAAAAGTATATTTATTAGATGAAAATATTCAGCATATGTGGGTGAGTTATTTGATAAACTAATCAAAAAAGTTTTTACACATGCAAGCGAATTTAGTGATCTTAATATTTTTAATAATAAAAAAAAACTTTTTATTTTTAACATCACATTATTAAAAAGGAAGTTGATGAGACTTTACAGAAAATTTAGGTTGACAAATTAGTAAGATTTAGTGGTATCCCAATAGAAGTGTTAAAATATTTAAGAGATTTAGGAATTTCTTGGCTTATTGAATTTTTTAAAATTATTTTAAAAACTAAAAAGATACCCGATGAGTGAAGGAAGAGTATTGTGGTGCCCATTTTGAAGAATAAAGGGGATACACAAGTGTGTGCAAATTATAGAGGAGCTAAGTTAATACGCCATAAGTTAAAATTATGGGTGAGAGTGATTGAACATAACTTAAAACGTGATATAAGGATTTTTCATAATCAGTTAGGATTTATGTCGGGCAACTATTCAACATAGGTGGGTGGGTTATTTTGATAAACTTTTTAATGAAGTTTTAGAAAAGTGAATCGATTTTAGTGATCTTAATATCGTTAATAATAATAAAATGTTTCATTTTTACCGTCGCATTAATAAAAAAAAAAGTTGGGGAGGCTTTAAAGAAACCAATGGTAGAAAGCCTGTAAAACCTGATGATATCCCAATTAAAGTGTGAAAATATTTAAGAGATTTGGGAGTTTCTTAGCTTTTACTAAACTCTTTAATATTATTTTTAAAACTAAAAGATGTCTGAGTGGAGGAAGAGTATTTTGGTCCCCATTATTAAGAATAAAGGGGATACACAAGTGTGTGCAAATTATAGAGGAACTAAGTAAAATATTGATATGACTTACATTCAAGTCATTAAAGATTAGTATGCTAGAGTTGTTACTTGTGTTTGAATATAAGGAGGATTGCCCAAGTATTTTTCCTATTTCAGTTTGATTACATTAGGGGTATACTTTAAGCCCATAATGTTTAGCTTCAGTAATGGATGCTCTTACTAGTCATGTACAGGAGGATGTACCTTGGTGTATGCTTTTTGCTGATGATATCTTTATTGTGGATACGAGTAGAGAAAAAAAATCAAGAAAAAACTTGAATTACAGAGATCTACTTTAAAGTATAAAGACCTTCATTTGAGTATATTTAAAATTGAATACATGAAATATAATTTTAGTAGTAGTAGACATCTTGGTGGAGTTATAAGAATGGGTGATCAAATCATTAAAAATAGTGAACAATTTAGATATCTTGGGATTATTGTTCAATGTGATGGTAATATACGTGGGGATTTTATTAGTACAATTTAATGGTTGAAGCGAAGGAATGCATCAAGCCCACTGTGGGATAAAAAAGTACTGCATAGACTTAAAAGAAAAATTTTATAAGATAGTGGTGAGACTTGCAATGCTTTAGAAGCATAAAATTAGGTTAAGCTTTGTTGGGATGAGAATGCTTAGGTGGATCAGTGGCATACAAGAATTGAAATTTGTCCCAAGTGTCTCGTTTAGGTTTTTCCATAATATAAAATTACTGAAGCGCCCTTATAAACTAACATGGTATTAATGTACTTTTTGAATGGTTTTAAAAATCGGATCAAACCGGACAGTTCAACCATGAACCAGTGATTCCACTAGTTCCGTTCAAGCTCAAAATCATTTTTTGCATAGAACTAGGTAGGGTGTAAACAAGCCAAGCTTGGGTGAGTCCAGGCACAACACGTGCTTGACTCATTAAAAAATATCATTGTTTGTGTTCAAATCATATATACATCGAGTGCAGAAGTTTTTTTCATGTTCGGTTTGTTTGCTCAACGAACCGAACACGAGCTGTTAGCTAACAAGAGTTGCTTTAACAATTCTAGTCACGCAACCGTCAGATGTTAAAGGTTGGGTCGAGATTTAAATCTTATTATTCATCTTAAAATATTCATTTAAATATAATTTAATATATTTTATTCCATTTTTTCATTAATAAGTTTAATTAATTATAAATTTTTGTAGCCTTGTCAATTAAATTATTTAAAAAAAATACTCATCATATATATATATA